GTTCTTTGTCCTTTTTGTATCTCACCTGAATTTGCTTGTATGGCCACCAATCTATCTTTATATTTTGTTGCTGTGGTTCTTGTCTTGTTTTTAATCTTTCTTGTGTGTCTAATAAGTCTTTATAAGTCCTCTTTTTCCCCAGATCCATTGCATTTGGGTAGATTTGTGCTTCCATAGTTGACTACCAGTTTGGTATTTTAGTATAATAGTTCTTTTTAATCTTGTTGTATGTCTGAATTAATGAATCTCTAATCGTGTCTCTGAAAATATGCATGCTGTTTACATTTCCCATCCCATAGAAAACTATGTCACCCTCTCTGCAAGTCATGACCCTCTGTCAACAATACTCTTCTATTTTCCAGGTTGATCCAATCTTTAATCCATACCATAGCCGCAGCCTGGTAATACATTTCCCAGTCACCTTCATCCTTTCCATGACTGTTTTTCAACTATCAAAACACCTTACCGCTCCTTACCACTTAGTCTTGCTAAATACAAATACTAATCTCTGAAAAGAAACTAGTACCTCCCATTTGCTATTCATGACCAAGCTTTGTTTTTTCACTGGACATCTGCATGTTACACAATCACATGCAAAGTGGCAGAAGACTTCAGGACTCAAATGTAGAGGTCTCCAGCCCTTTTGGAACGGGGAGATTTTTGGAATCTGGTGAGCATGTTATGGGCTCTCTCACAAAACGAATGGGATGGAAGACACGAGCAATCATGAAATACCCATTTCCCAGAAAGCAGTCTGTTAGGTTCCTCCTAACAATGCCTCCTAGGAATCTCCTGTCCCTTTCTACTTTCTCCTGAACTGATGAACACCCATCCAAGCAAAGCTCTGGGCTGCAATCCTTTCACTGCTTTATCTTCTAAGCATGACTCTGGGATATAAAGAGGCTTAGAAAGATTGTTTGAAAACCAAAGTATATTTTGCTGGAAACCAGTGATTTCCTTTCCAGAATGCTATTTTTCTATCCTTCTTAATTAAAACAATGTAAAATCTATGTAAAATTGCATAAGGCAGAGAGTGTGGTGTGTAGAAAGTCCAGTGTGTATCATGTCAATAAAAGCGATCCTACCTGGTACTAAGGAAAAAAATCCTGATGGTGGGAGAAATTAATGATTAACCAATGGAACTGCTTACCTCCTGGAGTTGTGGGAGTTCCATTGTTGGAGGTTTTCAAAAAAAGATTGGACCTCCATTTGTTCAAAATGGTATAAGGATTCCTGCCTTGAGCCAGGGGCTGGTCTAGAAGACCTCAAAGGCCCCTTCCAGCCCTGTGATTCTATGTTCTAATAACAGTCTTAAGGAAAAGTCGCAAGTCCTTTGCTAATGTTCATGTGACCTAGATGCCACATTCAATCCTTGGCATGTTCAGGCAAATTGATAAATACCTTGGTATGAAATATGGATTTCAATATTTTCCTATAAATCTGTCATTAAAATATTCTGTTTTTTTTCTGTGCAGTCTCTGGTATTAATTTTCAAACAATATTTTTAATGAATGAAACAGTTCCTGAAGTTGAGAATCAGTTAGTACTTTCTTGTTCTGATTTTAAACAGATCTGGAATATTTGACACAGATCTGAAGTGATACGAAAAAGAGATAAGTCTGTTTTCTGCATTGATCTTTCAACACCTTTTCCCTATTACCTTTTAAGTTTTTAATTTGTAAAATGCAATTTTATCAGTGTTAGGTTTCATTAGGTTTACATTAACTAAAATTACTTTTACCAAAATAGTTTTAAAATGCCTATAACAGTACTTAAGAGAATTGATTGTAATGACTTAAAAGTGTTTATTTGCTGTCTTTTAATGATTACTCAATTATTCAGCCTTTAAAAAAAATGCTATCAAAATTTACAGCATGCTCAAATGAATTGACTCAACAGGCAACATCAGGTCTGCCAATGTAAACTTAAGGCAGAAATAAATCCATATTCCTCCTAAATGTGAAAAATTGTATTTATAGCACACTAGTTGTGATAGAAGTCTGAAAGTTGGGAGGCACTGCATAACCAAGGGGTTGAAATATATTGCTTAGACCAACTGTTTCTTTGCAGACCAATAATTCCAGAAGGTCATTTCCAAAGACTTCTGCCTTCAATTTGTTGCTAGCCAGAACACAGGCTGTGCTGTTCAATGGAGGGCACTTGCTCTACAGATACTGCTAAATTTAGTCTGCACCTGCTAATATTCCAATGTCTTCCAATGTATGGGTTTCTGATAGAAACTTGCTGGCAGGCCATGTAGATAAAGCTAGGCTGTGTTTTACTATTGAACACCTAGCATGTGCAGTACTTCCAAGAGAACCAACTTTGCTGTACTCCTGCTTTTCTCATGCCAATAACTTGTTCAGAAAATGATTCCTTTTCCTACCGAGGGCCTTGATATAGTACAAGTGAATGCCTGAGAGAAGAGGGTCTCTTCACACAGGAGGCCACATTTTAGCAGGTCTATTTATCTTACCTAAAGAAATAGCTAGTGGTTTTTACAGTGGCTTAAGACAGGCAATGAGGTGAAATAATTCTTATGTTCTAAGCTGCCATAACAGAACCTTCTTCCTGTATTATTTCTACTTAAATTAGATGAACATAGGTTACTATTTTCTGCTGCTGCTAAAGATTGCAGAATCATAGGAATCCCATTACCGGGATAAAATTCCAAGCAAATTTATATGTCACTAAAGCTGCCTTCCCCACAACTGAATGAATTCCTCCAGTATTGCAGCCAATTTGAGGAGATATTCTTCTCCTCACAATCTCTTGTGGTATTTAAAGCACTATTGTAACAATACAGTTTGAGTTTTGAATAGCCGCTGCTCTCATTTCTAACAAGGAATTTGATTTTGAAAGTTTGCAAATCTCTTTCTCCCTCATCCCAATTTGCAATAAAGGGGCACTTCCAATGTTCTGTTTCAATACCCAACTGCTCCCCATCCCTTTTAATAGTACCTGGTAACTTTGAAATTTATTTAATTGCAGAATTCAACATGTGCAAATAGGGTTATGTGAGACGAGCCCTGGTGGTGCAGTGGTTAGAATGCAGTATTGTAGGCAAGCTCTGCCCTTACTCTGGAGTCGATCCTGATGGAGCTTGAGGTTGATTCAGACTTCCATCCTGCCAAGATCAGCAAAATAAAGATCCAGCTTCCTGGGGGCAATATGCTGACATTGTAAACTACCCAGAGAAAATGGTATAAAGATTCTTCCATTTGAAATTATTTCAAGACAAGCATCAGCCCCTTCCCTTTGCCTTCCAATGGAATATCCTAGAATCACTGACTTAGAAGGGATTTGGAAGACTTCTAATCCAATCCACTGCCCAGGACAGGAATCCTCAGACCATTCCAACCTTTGATTGAAAATGTCCAGGGATAGAATATTCATCACTCTGGGGGACAGGCTGTTCAGTTCAATAACTCATTTGCTCAGAAAATTGCTGAAACTTGGTTCTTCTTCTACATTTGGACCAGAGGTGGTATTCAGCAGATTCTGACCAGTTCTGGAGAACCAGCAGCAGAAATTTTGAGTAGTTTGGAGAACCGGCAAATACCACCTCTGACTGGAGATTTTACAGTATCCTTTCCCTGCCACGCCCACCAAGCCACGCCCACAGAACCCATAGTAAAAAAAATTGAATCCCATCACTGATTTGGCCCTATGGACCTATCCATACCTTCTTCCCTGTGACAGCTCTTTTGGTATTAGAAGACTCCAATCACGCTCTGCTTTAGGCTATTTTTCTGTCATCAGAACAAATGTGCAGGGCCCAGCCTCCCCAACAATGATATTTAGGAGTTTTGTTGTTCCGTACTGGCCAAGCAGTGTTCAGTTCTAACGACTCATCTGACAAGAGATGGACTACATACTGCAACTCTATCATTAGCTTCTTCATCCAATTCTCGTTGCTACAAGGATCTCATATCTGCCAATAGAGTCCTTCCATCATTGTAATTTTTTCATTCGACTTAACAAGAGTCTAATGGTTCCTGAATAGCAGACCTTCCTGATTTTCGTTGCTTTATTTATTGTTTCACTGTCATATTCACAATATTTTTTCTTCAAATTTGCACTTGTCCCCACACTCCATCAATTGGCTTTTTAAAAATCTTTTTTTGAAAATCTAAAAAGCTCAAACCTGGGCAGTACATGGATGGGAGGCCCAACTAATAAGTTGAAAACTATCCCAAAAGATGGCAACGAATAACCATTTCCATATTGACTCAGCAATCCATCTTTTCAAGGCTGGAAAAATGAGGACAGATTGTTGGGGGCAAGATAAGATGCTGACTTTGTGAAGTGTTTAAAGAGGGCTGTAAAGCACTGTGAAGCAGTGTGAAAGTCTAAGTGCTATTGCTATGTTAGAAGAAAATCATGTGGATAAATTACATAAAATCCCCAGCAGTCGCTTGACTTGGAAAATTTACCTGTCTCGTAACAAATAGCAGTTACCCCAATGACTCTTCTTCAGTCATTCTATGCCAGAGATATAGCCAAACTGGGCACCTAACCCCTGATGTGACAGCTCTACAGATTGGGAAATAATGCTGAAGGACAATCACATCAGACTTTTCCAAATACAGATAATTCTGATTAACAGCTTACATTAACTAAACAACTGAATATGTTTTTAGAACTGCAGGCTTTGCTAATGACAAAGAAAAGATTATCACTAGCTGCCCAGTTAGAAAGGAGAGATAAACTATCATATCAAGGTTAAAGCAAGAAGGACTACATGATAGTAATAGTAATCTCCCCTTATAATTTTCAAATATTACACAGAATCTTCAGCTTTTGTTTTAGCAACAGGGGCTGGAAATTTGATTTTTCAAAACAGACATTCATGAGACACAAGTTCCATCACATTGCTGATTTCATTCTGATATTGGACGAATATAGCTTGTATGGAATTCTTCAATGCCTAACATGCAAATAAGTAAGGCTTTGGTATCCAGGAACAGGGCCAGACATCACATATTTTATTTTAATAATTGGATTATAAATAAATTTTATTATAATTTCCTCAAGACAAAAATCAAGGCTCAGCTATCCATCTTAGACTTGGAACAAGACAGAATTCTGATCTAGAGAAAACGTTGGAGGGATATTTCAATTCCAAACAGGAGCAGTTTTAATTAAAAACTGACAGCCATTGTGAGCTGCTAACCAATTTATGCTTCTTACCATTATTGAAGACTTCAGTTTAAAGTCAGGACATGACTATCAATAGTCAGGACATCCTTATATTTAAATGGCACAATGTCTCTGTATGCTTCTGAAAATTAAAAAGGCTATCTAGAACGAATGTAACTTCATATTTTTTCAAGTGAAATCAGAGTACTCTTCAGAGATATTCCATGTATCTTCAAGTCCATCTCCAAGTCCACCTAGAGTTACATTTTGAATCTACCTGCTGTATATGGAAATTCAAGGTCAGTGTTTATGACACAAATCTCCACTAGGATCAAGAAGATCTGCAGGAACTCTGACCTAGCCTTCCCAACCCAGATGGCTGTTGCTGAGAAATTTCCCAAGGGTGGAGCTCAGTCTTCAACAAGGCAGAATGTGGGAGCCAGCTCCTTCCAACATCTTCAACAAATGTTCTCTTTCTATTTGATTGAAACTCTTTCTTCAAATCTTGAACAACGCAGGAAAAATAGGGCAGGAATCTCAATATTGTCTTCCAGTGCAAAGTAAGTGCACAATCCTTCATTAAGACTGAAACTCTGGTGGCGGCAAAGTTCAGTACTTCCTCTCATAAATTAGGCTCCTAGCAATTCAAGAAATCTAGGTTAGGCTTCCATCTTCCGTAGACACAATCTGTTGAAGGAGTTTCTGGGGGAGAAATAGAAGAAGGTTTTCAAACAAATATTGGAAAGGAATTTACATTATATGCGGGAAAAGAGTGAAATAGCAAAAGCAGAAATGTATACTTCTATTGAATAAAGGAAAGAACTGCATTAGATTTGGGTCTGATTCTGAAGCAGGATCTCTCTAAAGCAACTGGCACAATCAGAGTCATTATAAGATTTAAAGAAGCCCTAACAGGCACAAATATCACTTAACAGATTCTACCAAACTGATTCAAAATTACTAAAGGTAAGAACTGTGTCCCTTGAAAGCAAGCAATGGACAACTTATAGTGCCCCTGTGCCACTTATGACATTCTAAACATCTGGATATCATCCAACAGCATAGCATCTTGTGTTGGATAGCAGCATATGGTTATATTTCCTGGTTTCGAGGAGCAGAATTCCTATAAGAATTCAGTGAGATTCATTTATGTCTTAAGGAGCAAAAGATGAAAACAAAATCAACAAATTAGGAAAGGTCCCTAAGTGTAATAGTGGTGGAATTATACCAATAAACTTGCCTGTGCAAAGCACTTTGATTCTGAGCATCCATTTTTGAAGTGTTTACTCATACCAGAGGCAAGCTGGGCATGCAGGTCTCACCTGTGTGCAGAATGAGGAGCAACTGGTGTATAGAGTTGAGGGATTTTGCGGTTGAGTAGTGGGTGCAGGGCTTCCTTTAGACGCTGGTAATTCCTCTCTAGCTCTCTCAGGAATTCACGTTGGTCTGGTCCAATCAATGTCTTGCTTTTACGAAGGGCATCTTCACATCTAAGAAAATAGTCAGGTGGATATGCATCATGGTACTGGCTTACAGAGGCCTCAAAGGGTTTTCTGTCTCCTCCTTTGGGCTATTTACATTGTCTAACTTTTCCAACCTTAATGTAATTGCTCCCAGCTTCTAGCCTGAAATGCCCTCAAAGGGAGATAGATTTTTGAAGTGTCTATTAGATGTGGAAGGCTCTGGAGACAAGCTTTTCTTTTCAGATCACCCTTACTGAACTGCAGAAGCTTTGGCAATGAACGTATGTGCTGCAAAATGTATTCCTTTGAAGACATCCTTTCAAAAGATTGGCTTTACTTTTAGTTGTCTGGAACTTTTTAGAGGAAAAGCTGAAGATCAAGTTAATAAACATACTAAAGTTTTGCCAACCAAAAGGGGATTGTGTAGGCTTGGCTGACATTAAAGGAAACTATTTTCTTTCGTCCACTAAAGAACTGAAACAATTTTTGTTTTTTGCAAAACTCAGTACAAAAGACACAGCTGGGCAGAGAGCAAAGCTGCGTATATAGGATTCAAAAAGAGGTATTAACACAAATGAATTGAGGCAGCTTTGTTGCTTGATAAATGGCTATGTATAAGAGGCACTTCATCTATCATCTTTTACTGGACCAGAAAGAGCCAGATAAAAGTCTACCCTCACTCATGAAGCCCTCTGAACCAGTCCTATTTTTTTAGCCCAGCCTATCTCCATACAGTTGCTGTTGTAGGTATAAAATTAGGGGAGTTCTCCCCTCCCCAGCTTTCAATAGAAAATACTGCATTTATGCTGACTACCTCCTAAGTCCTGAAGAGGGTAAAAGATAGTCACTTTTGAGTTGAACTTGAATGCTGGTGAACATGTCCACATACTTTCTAAGCACTAACCAGAACATCTTTGCTTAGCTTCTGAGCTTAGATAAGGTTGGTTAGATGCTGCCACCTGCTGAAACTATACACAGGAGTCTCTTCTTACTTTATCTCCAGAACATCTAACAAAGAGAGGCTAAAGTTATTGGTGAGCCCCATATTTGAAAAGGACCTTTTACTTGGCTCTCCTCAGTTCATTAAAGGAACCTACTAATCCCAACCAGAGTCTATCCCTTGGAGCACTATACTCTGCTGAATTTTTGGGATCCTCACAACAGTTCTATTAACATAGATATGTATTACTTTGATATATTTTGTGTATGGAAGCAGGATGCAGGTCAACATAGTAAAAGCAGAATATTCCTTTAGCTCTTCTAGAGAGTACATAGCAGAGGCATCCTCCATCTCCATGCTCCAATACTCATAACAACCACCTCTTGGAGTTGTTATTCTGGAAAACAGAGTTGTTCCGGAAGGCTAGTTTTGTGAAACAGAATTCCAGTTAATCTTCTTTTAGCATAGCTGGAAGTTATTTTAATTGTAATGTGAATCAGGGAAATCTGGGTCTAAGAAGCAAGCGGTTTTAGGAAGTTACAAATTGCAGTTGGCCCTAGGTCCCCTCCATATGTAAATAATAGGGAAGTTTTAACAGCTATAGATGATTCTGAAGAACTACGTTATCCAGAGGAATATAAAGACCTAGCAGATGTGTTTAGCGAAAAGGACTGTGAAACATTACCACACACAGAACAACTGATTGTGCAACTGATTTAATTCCTGGAGCAAAGTTTCCAAAACCATGAATGTATGCCGTGACTCCAAAAGAGATGGAGGAAATGTTGACTTCCGGTTTGCCAGGCTTCGGTGACGGCAGGGATTCGCGATTCTGCGCGATCCCTGCCGTGCTAGCCATCTTGGTGCCTCCAATCCTGACGGATCTGGAGGATAAGGCTGCCCTGTTGGGGCAGCCGAAGAAAGGGGGGATCCGGACAGGGGTTGAGGGGTATCGCAGACCCCCTCCCCAGCCGGCAAAACCCCCTTTTCTCAAGGCGGTGGAGAGGCGGTCTTAATGGCCGCCACAAAGAAGCCGGCAACTGGCTTAAGAATGTGTAGGAGGAAGAAGGAGGAAGTTACAAAGTGAAAGTTCTTCTTGGCTGAACCAGGACTTTAAGGACATATTCAATATCTTGAAAACTTCTATTTTTTTTGGATGTTACAATGTTCCCAATGGAGGTTTCCTAAAGCGGCGAATGAAAGTGCTGAAAGGGAAAGTTACTCTCCCTCCCTTACGGAACTAACAAATGGACATGGAAAATCTGCTTTTTAACAGAAGGTAAAAATTTAAAGCCCTTTGTTACAAGTGGGAAGGGAGAGGTTTGGAAAAAAAAATTTATACTAAGACTTTGTTGGAGGCCTTGAAGATTAAGAGACTAGAAGCTAATTGCAAAAAGGATTTAAAATACAGATTGGGGTTTTTTTCCTAACTGACATTACCCCAGGAAGAGAAACTGCAAAAGGAAGAATTTTGTGCTTTGCTTGGACTGTTGGATGACTTTGGGACTTTGGGGAATTGTTTTAAGTTTGGAAATATTTTGGTTGGCTTAATAACAAGAAGAGGATAAAGAAAAAGAAGAAGAAAAGTTTATAATGGCTCTATTTCTCGATGAACTAAGAAAACAATACGTAAAAATAAGGAAAGAAGGCAAGGACGCTATGGGAGAAGCCCTTTGCTTTTTAGAAATGGCGTTTGCTATTTGTCAGCAAATTCAACAACAGCTGGAAGAAGCGGAGGAAGACGAAGCCATTTTTAATGAACTAAAAAGCTTGATTAAGAAAGAAAGGAGAAAGAGAGGAGGGAAAAGGAAGGACTTAAGACTTAAAAAAATATCTATGAAAGGGAAAAATAAGATGCAAAATCAATATAATGCTAGAAAGCAAAAGGAAAGAAGAATACAACAGAGAGGGGAAGCCAAAAAGGCGGAGGTTAGGAGAGGAGTGGGTAAAAAGGCTAGGTGGGTCAAGAAAGAAAGGGAAAAGGGGGAAAAAAGTCACAAAGGTATAAAACAAGATGGGAAAAAGAAAACTTTTTTTAGGGACAAAGGGTAATGTATGATTAAAAAAAGGGGGGGATTCTGCAAAGTACACATGATAGTATTGTAGTATTTGTATTAAAAATAGAAAATTAGAATTTTATAAGATTCAATAAAAGATTAAAATATTAAAGTATAATGTTAAAATGTTTAATAATGATTTTAAGTTTTAATAAAATATTAAAGGAAATGTTTAAAATATTAGTTTAATTATAGAGTTTAACGGGCTAATGTGCTGATGTTATTATAGATTTATTATTGTAGTATTTGTTATTGAAATAGTAGAATGTACTAAGCAGAATCAGATTGGATTTAGGTGCTATTTTAAATGTCAATTTAGGGGAATGATAGAAAGGCATCATACTCTAGTGATTTCAGGAGAAATTATCTTTTTTTTATATTGGGAATGAGATAAATGTTTAAATGGAAAAGAATGGACAAAAGATAAAAAAATATTGACAAAGCAAGATGAAATATATAAAATAGAATTAAGAAGAGGGAAAAGCGGGGAGGAGTTATATAGAAGATATAGAATGGTAAACAAGATAGGTAACGGTATATAAGAAGAGCATGAATTTAATTGAAGTCCATACAAAAAGAGGTAATCTGGGGCCAAGCTACTTTCTAAAAGGAAGTTTTATGTTTTTGTGTTTTGTGTGTGTATGTTCAATTGAGAATTAATAAAATCTCGGAGGAATGTCAGATGAGAATAATTGTAAACAAGTCAGAGAGAAATATAAATATGATGATTTAATAGAGGATAAATATAGAAAAGGAATGTGATTGAATAAGAGTAAAGAGAAATAATGTGAAATTTGTTAAAGGGAATTTATGTGTCTATATGGAAATGGGGTAAATTAGAAGTATGCGATATAAAATAATATTTTACCTGCCTTGTAAAGATTTATAATGGAAAGAGGTTTTATGTTTTCAATGTTTAATGATGTTTTGTTTTGTTTGTCTTTAAAGTTAATAAAATTTGTTTTAAAAAAAAGAGATGGAGGAAATGAGACAATATATAGATAAAAATTTGGCACGTGGATTTATTCAACCCGGGAAATCACATATAGCTGCCCCTGTTTTATTTTGAGAGAAAAAAAGATGGTGGATTATGTTTTTGTGTTGATTTCCGCAGGCTCAATGCTATTTGTATAGATAATGTATATCCTTTACCACTGATCAACTATTTGTTAGCAACGTTAGCGACTGTCAGGTATTTTACAAAATTGGACTTACGAGAAGCCTACTATAGAGTTTGAATACGAGAGGGGGATCAATGGAAAACTACTTTTAATTGCCCCCTTGGAAGTTTTCAGTTTAACGTTATGCCATTTGGGTTGCAAGGGGCACCTGCTGTCTTCATGCAACTTATAAATGAAGTATTACAAGAATATTTATATCGTGGCATTCTAGTATATTTAGATGATATTTTAATTTATACCAAAACAATGGAGGAACATGTGACCTTAGTGAGAAAAGTTCTGAAAAAATTACTTGATACCAAATTATATGTGAAACTTTTGAAGTGCGAGTTTCACTGTACGTCATTAGATTATTTGGGTTCATATCCAATAAAGGAATAGAAATGGATCCCAATAAAGTCAGAGCTGTAGTTGATTGGAAAGAACCAAAAACATGAAAGCAATTGTAAAGTTTTTTAGGATTTGCGAACTTTTACCAGCAGTTTATTCCTAAATTCACGCAAAATGCTTTACCACTAACAGAATTGTTAAAAACTAAACATCAAGCACTAAAACCCAGACCTAGTCAACCCATTGTATGGTCACAGGAGTGTCAGCGAGCATTTGACAACCTGAAAGCTTTATTTGCTCAAGAGCCCATTTTAAAACATCCTGATACAACCAAAAGTTTTGTAGTACAAGCTGATGCAAATGATGTGGCTGTGGGGGCTGTCTTCTTACAGTATAACATTGATGGACAATTACAGCCACGTGCATATACATCACGGAAATTTACAATCACAGAACGCAGGTGGGCTATTTGGAAATAGGAGGCTTTTGCTGTAAAATGGGCACTTAGTACATGGAGACACCTATTAGAAGGGTTGAAAGAAAAATTCGAAGTTTGGACGGACCATAAAAATTTACTAGCATTACAGAAACCGAGAAAACTATCCCCTAAACAAGTAAGATGGGCTTTGTATTTTAAACGTTTTGATTTCCAGTTGCAATATGTTCCAGGAGGTTAAAACTTCATGGCAGATGCACTATCTAGACCAGGGGTCCCCAACCACCGGGCCGCAGACCGGTACGGGGCCGTGGATCATTTTGTACCGGGCCGCAAAGAAAATAAAAATAAAATAAAAATGGCGGCTTTCTTCGCCTTCGGTGAATGCTGCTGGGATCAGGGATCAAGGACACAAATGAAAGAAGGGGAGGGAGGAAGCAACCAAAGCCTGTCCTGCTCTCCGGCTCAGCGGCTTCGGTTTCCTCCCACCTCGTTCCTCTCTCAGTCACTCTCTCGCTCCTCCACCAGCCCAGGAAGAAACTGCTTCAAAGAAGCCGGCAGGGTGGCTTTTCCTGTCAGCGCAGCTCCTCCGAAGTGCCCGTTAACCCCCACCCCACCGCCCACGGTTCAATCCAGTGCTCCGTTCTGCCTGCCTGCCTGCCTGCCTTCGTTTCTGGTTGTTTCGGAGTAGCTTTCGCTGAGAATAATAACTATTCGCCTCTTTTACTCAGCTGAAGCTGCTCCAAAACAACCAGAAACGAAGGCAGGCAGGCAGACAGGCAGAACGGAGCACTGGATTGAATCGCGGGCGGCGGGGTGGGGGTGAACAGGCGCTTCGGAGGAGCTGCGCTGACAGGAAAAGCCACCCTGCCGGCTTCTTTGAAGCAGTTTCTTCCTGGGCTGGTGGAGGAGCGAGAGAGCGACTGAGAGAGGAACGAGGCAGACACCTGAGGGATAAGGCTGAGGGAGGGAGGGAGACACCTGAGGGATGAGGCTGAGAGAGGCAGGGCTGAGCGGCGGGGCTTCTCAGCCATCCTGCAGGGACTTGTCCTGAGCCGCGGAGACAGCTGTGGGCCGCCGCCGCCCAGCACTCAGTTTTGAAGGCGCTCCTCAGCCCGGCGCAGTTCCTGAATCTGCAGCTGAAACCCTCTGTTTTAAATATCCCAATAGAAGAGAATATCTATTGCTCAGGGTTGCAATGAGGAGGCATTGGCGCTTCCTGAACTTGGTGGTTTGCTGGCAGACGTTTTATTACCCGACTAGGTAACAACATCAAGATGTTATCTAGTCAGGTAATGAAACGTCTGCAAGCAAACCACCAAACTTGGACTCCTCCCCACCCACCTCCTTGAAAAAGTGTCTTCCCCCCCCCTCCCCCCGGTCCTTGAAAAAGTTTTCTGCGTGAAACTGGTCCCTGGTACAAAAAAGGTTGGGGACCACTGTTCTAGACTACCTCAATACAATATGTCTAGAGATGGTTATTCAGCCCATGATCTCTGTAGGACCGTCAACCGAACAAATTCAGATGTTGACCACAAAAGCGATAACCAAAAAGGAATTAGAAGAGGCTACAAAAATGGATGTATTGATAAAAACAAATAATAGTACCGGTTTACATAAAGATGGATTGTATTGGAGAGGGGATAAAATATATGTTCCATCAAATTGTAGGAAAAAGATATTATCCCAATATCATGATGTAAGGCAGGCTGGACATTTTGGATTTTTAAAAACACTACATTTGGTAAGGCGGCAGTTTTGGTGGCCATGTATGAGATCAGACATTGAACACTACCTTAAAGAATGCCACATTTGTGCTACTACGAAACCTCCAGTAGGAAAACCTTTAGGACTATTACAAGCTGTATCGGATCCAAACTGGCTGTGGCAAGATATAGCCAAGGACTTTATTGTGGAGTTGCCCAGCAGTAATGGATATACAGTAATCTGGACTATTATAGACTTGTTTTCAAAACAAGCTCACTTTATACCATGTAAAGGATTACCTTTGGCAACAAAATTAGCCAACCTGTTTATAAAACGTATATATAGATTACATGGCATACCTAGGAGGATAATAGAGGTGTGCAATTCACAGCACGATTTTGGAGAGTGTTTGTACGCCTTTTAGGATGCTCTCAAGGTCTTAGCTCTGCATACCATCCCAGCACCAATGGTGCTGCTGAAAGAGCTAATGCGATGATTGAAAGGTATTTGAGATCATATACATCTTATCAACAGCGAGAATGGGCTGATTTACTTCCATTTGCTGAAGTAGCATATAATAATGCTATACATGAAAGCACAGGATATAGCCCATTCCAGGTAGTAAATGGGATAGAATTTGTGCCAATTCCTGATTTATAATGTGATGAACAACAACCCATAAATGTCCAAATGTGGTCAAAAAATGTTCAGGATAGTTGGTAACTTTCAGTAAAACAGCACTAGACTATAAACATCAAGCAGACAAGAAAAGAGTATAAAGCATTCAAACCTGGAGATAATTTTTACCTATCAACTAAATATATAAAATTACATCTAAATAGTTGAAAATTGGGACCAAAATATATTGGTCCTTTCCAAATTACGAAAGTGATAAACCCCGTAACTGTAAAACTTAAATTGCCACCACGGTTACATCGAATACATCCTGTATTTCATGCTAGTTTACTTAAGCCTGTAGAATACATTGATATACTTCAACTTGAGGAATTTGTAATAGCTAAAGATGTAACCCATGCTGAAATTGATAAAATTCTAGATTTGCAGATATGTAGAAAAGTGTTACAATACTTAGTGAGATGGAAAGGTGTTGTGCCTCTGAGGTTTGAACCAGGTCAGTCAGCAGATGTAGGCTCGAGTGATGAGGAAGATCTGGCATTGAGATTCAAGCCTGCATTACTGAGCGACGTTGAGAGGAGTCTGGGGGAGGAGGAGGAGTTGAATCTGAGAGATGAGCCTGATTTATTAGAAGTTTCAGAGGCGTCTTCCTCTTCTGGAACTCCCTCCCTGATTGCACCTCAGGTGTGAACTGTTAATCAGGAAGGTGTGCCAGAGGCTTCAAGCGATGATGAAACTGCCAGATGCTGGCTTGATGCTAGGACTACGAGAAGATTGAGACGTCAATCTCAATTAGAAAAGAGACATCCAGCCAAGGATTAATTAAAGAGACTGACACGCCCCTTCAGGGGATATATAAGGAGCGTATTAACGCCTCTCCCCCGCTCGAAGCAAAGTGCCTTTTGGATTCGGAAGAATACGTTTGAAGCGGCTGTCATGAGTTATGGACAATTCGGACTTGCCAGACAGATTCCATGAAGACTGCCAAGGACTGTGAAAACAGAGCAGTTAATTCTTTTGGGTCTGGTTTTGTTTTGCTTGAATATTTGAACTCTGGAACTTTGGATTCTCACCTGTGGATACACGTGAGATAAGAACAGAAAGGATATCCTGAAACAGAAGCAACCTGGGTGAAAGTAGCAGATGTGTGTGCAAATAGACTGATAAGGCAATTTCACACTAAATATCCTGATAAACCTGGACCACAAGTAGACACATAATTAATGATATAATGTATATTGTTTTATAGACTGGTTCCTGGTAGAGGGGGACGCATGTCGCGACTATGCAACACACGCGTTTGCATCGAAGCCACAGCAACCTGAAGGATGGCATTCCTCTTCATCAGAATAAACTCTGTATCATAATAATATGCGCAGTCTATGTAAAATGCTGTGAGGTGAAGCTCTATGCATTAACCACGATTCATGTGATTGAGTTCATACGAATAATTATCATTAAAAATGGTAATCATGGGTAATAAGGGTAATCATGGGTAATGAAGGGTAATGAGGGGAAATCAGTATAAATATCGAGTCCCAGGAAACTCGGGTTAGATCCAACTTTATTTTGTTTGCTTAACTATTATCTCGGACTCCTTGCGGAGGAAGGAATAAACAATAAGCCTTTGTGCTACGAAATACTGAAGCGAAGAGTGTCTTATTTTCTTCCTGGATTTGTGCCAAAGAGTAGCTGAGACAAGCTTTCTAAAGTTATTATTGAAGAAACCTTTTTCTTCCCTGTACAAATTCTGGATATGTCTTTTCACTGACCTTCCCTATATAACTTGCAAAAGAAATCTCCTTCATTCTCCAAGACCATTTCTGGTATATCATCTTGGAGTTGTTTTTATGCTGCCCAAAAAGACATTTATTGACTCTATTATGAAGACTCATATAATCTAAATTGTTCTCTGCAAAGGGAGGAAAAGCACATGGGGATCTCAGCCTCATGTTAATCCCAGCAAAGATGTTCTGAAATAAAACAGTTGCATCTGGATTAATGTGAGAAGTTTGCAAGTTTTAAGGGTCATTTCTGGTGTAACACATCATACTTGGATGGCTATCTATATTGAGAATTTTGTCTAGAGATCTCCTTGGGTGGAGCCACTTCATTTTCTCACCCAAACTTTTATATTATGAGCATTTGAATCTATTGCAATTATAGATTAAATCTATTTTTACTGAAGTTATGTGATGCTGCTTTATCCTATGTTCTTGCACATTATTAACATTATTATTTGCAATGATTTTTGTAAGGCCCTAAATATGATGGAATAGCATATAAATGTAGTTACCAAATCATGAATTGAGCCTATGACGTTGTTTATTACCTCTTAGTGAAATCTTTGAAGCACAGTCGGAGTTTGTTGTGGTGTCGATAGAGCTTGGGGTCATCAGGGATTTCAGCCAAAAATACCTGTGCCACTTCCAGGGGACCCTGCAACAGAAAGGCCATGGAGATGTAGTATGGTAAGAATGCCTGAACTGGAGTCAGGATCTGGGACATACATGGAAAGATTTCTTTCCCTTGCCATTCCATTTAGGCCACTCTTAGACATTGTTATTTTTATTTAGTTATCAACCTGAATGCTGCCTCTTTCACTGGCATACCTTTGGAAGGCTTACACATTATAAAATAAAAAATAAAATAAAGCAAGAACCAAGAAAACAGTAATGCATACACCAAACTCAAACAATCTTAAATCCAAGATGCCCTTTCAAGAGAGCTAATCATTTCACCTTGCCTCAGAGCCTACTGAAAGAGGCACATTACTAATGTTTTATGAAAATACAGCAGGAATGAGGACCTCAGAAAAAAATGCTGTTCCAAGAGGCAGGTACAGCTATAGAGAAGACATGTCTCCTAGGACCCTTTAAAAAATGACATTGTTTTAAAATCAGGACCTGTAATACGTCAATTCTATTTGGTCTTACTGGTTGGGCAAAAATGACTGGTCTTAGAAGGCAGTCCTGTGGGTAACCAAAACCTGAGCCTAAGCCACAAAAGGGTTTAGAGGTGAAGATCAACACTGAATTGTACCTGGAAGCCCTCTGGTACCCACTGCATCAACATAATCACCTTGGGAGAGGGGAGGAGCTGGCGCCGAGACGATACGGCTTGCAATCGAGCTCTATGATTGCAGCCGATATCTTCGCCCCTGGCCGGTCCAAACGGACCTAAACCGTCCTGTAGGGACGGTTATTGTGAGGGGCGCACCCTGTGGATCCCAGGGACACCGCAAAGTCCCTGGATGACCCAGGAGAAGTCCCTTTTGCTGGCGGCGGAGAGGCAGCCCCCAAGCTGCTGAAGTCGGGGCAGCTCCGGAAAGGAAGAGGCTGAAAGAGAAAGTGTGTCGGCTGGGTGAGAAACTTTTTTTTTTTTCCAATACTTTGAGGTTTGAAAGGACACTTTGATTGCTAGAAGAAATCTGTGTGATTTTTGACAAAATTCAATAAGCGGTGTTTTTTTAAGGGAGACATCAAAGTGAGGCTTTATTTTTATTTTTTTATTTTTTTTGCTACCGGACTTCATTGTTACTTAGTAGATAACCGGACTGATTTCTTTATATATATATAATTTTTAAACTTTTTTTTCTAGGCTAGAGGCTCCCTTTGGTTATTTCTCTTTTTGTATATATATGTATATATTTCTTGTTCTTATTTTTTTAACTTCAACTATGCTTTTCTGAGAGGAGGGGGGAAAGTGAGAACTAAGAAACTTTGTAACACTGCCAACTAGAGGCTTGAAAATATCTTACTTGAAGTGGAGAGAACTGTGAAAGACTCCTTCTCAAGGACATTCTAATTTGATAAGATAGAGGGAAGAGCGCAGTAGAATATTATTACAGGTGTTCTTCTGGATTTCTATCAACAATTAAATATTTATGGCTTGGCTTTGAAGCCTGTGGGAAAGGGAAGTGAGTCATAACAAGAGCCTTGGACAACTAAATAGAGTGCAGTGTGTTGTTTCTTTTTTTTAATCTTTTTTTTTTTTTTTGCTCCCCCCCCCCCCCGCCACTAGCATTATTGTAAGTTTTTATTTTAGTAATGTCTTTATTCTTACTTTTTATTTTCAAGGGGAAGCCTTAGAATTGTTTATTTTTACTGTTATTTTTATCTTTTTTTCCGTTTTCATTGGGATCTTTGCTTTTTCTATCTATGCTTTTGGATTATTTTAGCCTCCTTTTCTTTTTTTTTTAAATTGAGATTTTTTAGCTGGATTAAGGTGTGAAGAACCTGAAGAAATCTTTTTTGCATTGCTTTTTTTATTATTATTATTGGTTTTTCTTCTTCTTCTTATTTTTATTTTTTATTGTGGACTACCTCATAATTGGATTAGGGTCAGGAAGAACCTGAAGAACCTTTTTTCTTTTTTCCTCTTTTTTTTCTTTTTTGCTCTCCTTTACTACTGGGCTTTTTATTATTGGACTTTCCCACTCTGGATTATAATTGGCTATGTTTTTAATTGGATTAAAATTTGAAAGAATTTGAAGATCTTGAACCATTTAAAATGAGCAGGAAACCCATACCTCCGGGTGCTTCTACATCTACTTCTGCTTCCCCACCATCTGGAGGACAACGTTCAATGCAGGTAATGTTAAAGCAAGATAAAGAGCAAGAAAAAGTAACCTTACAGACGATTATGCAAGGAATTCAAGACCTTAAGATAAAAATAGATATCATTGAACAAAGAACAGGGAAGACTGAAGAAAAAGTGGAAAATATCCAACAGATGATGATGAAGTATGATGTGAGACTTCAAAAAGTTGAAGAAGAGGGTAAACGAAGAGAGAAGAAGATTGGAAATATTGATACTAGATTAATAGTGGTTGAACAAGAACAAAGTGGGATGCTGAAGTGGGAGATGGAGAGGTCAGAATTCTATCTTAGATTTCAAAATATAGAGGAAGAAAAAGGGCAAGATTTGGCTGCGATAATGATAGAAATCTTGGCTGATGCTTTGGAAATAACAAAGGCAAAGATGATGGATGGAGTAGATGAGATATATCGAGTTTCCACAAGATATGCGATGAGAAATAACCTACCCAGAGAAGTTCACATTAGATTTACTAAAAAATCCATCAAGACACAAATTCTACAAGCGGTAAGAGAGAAGATGTTGAAATATAAAGGCAAAGAAATCTTGGTCTTAAAACAAATACCTAGAAGAGTGAGAGAGATGAGAGGAGAATATCGATTTCTGACCAAAGTGTTATTGAAAAAGGAGGTGAATTATAGATGGCTGATCCCAGAAGGACTGATGTTTATATGGCAAGAACAGAGATATAGAATTGATTCAATTGAGAAAGCAGAACTCTTCTATGCAGAATTTTTTGGAAGGAGAGAGGAAGAAGCAGAAAAAGAGGTCCCATTAACTGAATCTCAAGAGGAACAAATGGAGATTGAAAAAGATGAAGGCGTAATAGGTGGACAGGTGGATATCAAAGACCAACGTGAACCAAGATGTATGAGACCTGCCAAACCTAAATATAAAATATCATCATGGAAGAGAAAAAACTGATCACAATGAATATAAATGGACTGAATTCAGCTGTTAAGAGAAGGAAGATTTTTCATAAATTAGGGAAATTAAAGTTTGATATAATTTGCTTACAAGAAGTACATATTAAAAAACAACATGAACAATTGTTAGTACAGCGAAAACTAGGGAAATTATTTACTTCTTTGACTCAATGTAAGAAAAGAGGAGTGGTTTTATATATTAAAGAGGCCATCCCCGCAAAATTGATTTACGCTGATGAAGATGGAAGAATATTAATGCTGGAAATGATGGATAATAATATAAAAATACTTTTGACTGCAATTTACGCTCTGAATGATAAACAAGAAGAATGCTATAAAAAATTACATATGAAAATGACTGGACTGGACTATGCTAATATAATTATGATGGGGGACTTTAATGGAATTGTGGACAATAAATTGGAATATATAGCAACAACAGCAAAGCACAATATAAAGACACTTCCTAAATCCTTTTTTAAAATGACAGATGAATTAATTTTAAAGGATATATGGAGAGAAAGAAATGCTAAAACCAAACAATATACTTTTTATTCAAATAGACACTTATCATGGTCCAGATTAGATATGGTCTGGATTTCAACAGAACTAACATCTAGTATCCAAGAAATAAACATTGAAGCAAGTACTTGGGCAGATCACAACCCATTGACTATTAAATGGAAGGGACAAAAAAAAAGATCGAGATGGACGTTAAATAATGCTATTTTAAAGGAGAAGGACTTTTCACAATGGTTCGAGAAAGAACTGGCCTTTTTTTTTAAAGAAAATAGAAAAGAAGATACTTCAGCGCAGAATGTTTGGGACACAATGAAGGCATATGCGAGAGGTTTGATAATAGACTACATAAGAAAAAAGAATATTAGGAAAAGGCAAACCACTAAAGCCCTGGAAGACGAGTATAAAAGACTTGAAAAAGAACTACAGAAAATGCCACAGAAAAAAGACATCAAATTGAAACTGGATATAACTAAACATAAAATGGACTTAATAGAGAAAGAAGAACTGGCACAGAATATTAGGAATGCTAAACAGAACTACTTTGAAGATGCAAATAAGCCAGGTAGATGGCTAGCATATAAGCTGAGAAAGGAGAAAGAGTCGAGGAAAATATCGCAGTTAATAGATAAGCAAGGTCAAGTTTGTTATGGCAATAAAGAGAAAAAGGAAATTATTCGAGATTTCTATGGACAATTATACAAGAAAGAGAACATTGACGAGGAAAAAGTTAAACAGTACTTGCAGAATGCAAACTTACCTAAGATATCTAAAGAGACTGAAGAAATGTTAGGAAGTAATATAACATGATGGAATTAAGTCAAGCACTTAAGAAACAAAATAATGGAAAAGCACCAGGTCCAGATGGGCTGCCTGCAGAATTCTACAAAATATTACAAGAATCATTGAGCATTCCACTTTTAGATGTTATGAATGAAGCAATGTTAAAGAAGACGATACCTAAAACATGGTCAGAGGCTTATATTACACTTATTCCAAAAGAGGAGGCTGATCCACTGCAAATTAAGAACTATAGACCGATTTCTCTATTAAATGCAGACTATAAGATTTTTGCTTCGATATTAGCAGAAAGACTTAAAAAATATTAGAATAATTTTATTCATTCAGATCAAAATGGATTCCTGCCAAAGAGACAAATTAGAGACAACATGAGAGTAATTTTGGACACTTTGGAATATTATGAGGCACATCCTGAAAAGCAAATGGCTTTGATATTTTTAGATGCCCAAAAGGCATTTGACAATGTGAATTGGAGATTTATGTTACTTTTACTGGAACAGATGGGTTTTGCTAGAAGATTTATCCAAGCAATAGAAGCAATTTATCATGAGCAAACAGCAAAGGTAATGATAGAGGGAGAATTTACAGACTCTATTAATATAAGAAAAGGCACAAGACAAGGATGTCCTCTTTCTCCCTTGTTATTTGTATTGACTTTGGAAGTGCTGAATAGAAATATTAGAGAAGATAAAACTATAAAAGGAATGAAAATTAAAAAGGAAGAATTTAAATTACAAGCCTTTGCAGATGATTTAGTTTTTATCTTGGAAGATCCTATAGAAACAGCTTCGAAGCTACTGGAAAAGATAGAGACATATGGTGAGGTGGCTGGTTTGAAAATAAACAAAGATAAAACAAAGATTTTGTCAAAGAACATGCTACTAAGACAAAGAGAAGAATTGGCAGATCTGTTGAAAATCCAAGTTATGAATAAGGTTAAGTATTTGGGGATATATTTGACATCAAGATGTAGTACATTAAAAGAGAATAATTATACTAAACTTAAACAACAGATAGCCTTAGACTTGAAGAAATGGGAAAATCTACAATTGTCATTAATAGGGAGGATTTCAACAATCAAGATGAATATTCTACCCAGAATTTTATTTTTGTTTCAAACAATACCAATTAGGCTTGGAAAAGACTATTTTGAGGATTTAAATAAAATTGTGCTGAAGTATATATGGCAAGGTAAGAAAGCGAGGATAAAGCTAAAGCTTTTGCAAGATGCTAGAACTAGAGGAGGGTTTGGCCTGCCTAATTGGGAGTTGTACTACCAAGCTGCAAATTTGATGTGGGTTAAGGAATGGATAACATTAAGGAAGACTAGATTGTTGACACTAGAAGTTCATGATTTGTTGTTGGGTTGGCATGCTTTTCTATGGTACAAGGGAACCAAAACACAGGGCCATTTTAGAAGACATTATATACGGGAGTCTTTGTGGCTAAATCGGGAAAAGATAACAAAACAATGTTATTTGAAAATTCCAGTTTGGTTATCGACGATAGAAGCATTTTCTTATCCTATAATTTATAAGAAGGAACAAACAGTTAGATATGGTGAAATATTGAATGAAAAGGGTGAACTTAAATCGATACAAAATTTAGAGGAACAAGGTATAAAGATGAATTGGTTTTCATATGTGCAAATACACTCAAGGTATGATGAAGATTCCAAAACAGAGGGATTTTATGATAAACAGACTGATTTAGATAAGATTTTGACAGGTACTGATGAAAAGGTGATTAAAAAACTATATGGTTACTTATTGGGAATTAAGCTAGAGGAAGAACAAGTTAAAGAAACTATGATTGCTTGGGGGAGGAATTTTGGATATGGGATTGACTTGGAGAAATGGCAGAAATTATGGTCGCAAAATTATAAAATGACAATGTCTACAGCTTATAAAGAAAATTTGTATAAGATGTTTTACAGGTGGCATTTCCCCCCGACAAGGATAGCAAGAATGTTTAAGAATAAATCGGAAAAATGTTGGAAATGTCATCAGACACCTGGTTCATATTACCATATGTGGCGGACTTGTGAGGACGCTAGAAAATACTGGACTAAAATCCGCATGTGGTTGGAAAAAATGACAAAGAAACATATAGACTTGAAACCAGAGCTTTTCTTATTGGGAATCCTACCAGATGTATACAGTAAAGATTTGAAATATTTGATTGTAAATGTATTAACTGCGGCTAGGATTGTATTTGCAAAAAATTGGAAAAATGAGAAAATTCCATTGCAGGAAGAAATTATTAAGAAAATATTGGAATGTGCTGAGATGAGTAGATTGACATTTGAAATTAGAGAGCAAGAAGATAAACAATTTTATAAAATTTGGGACCTTTTCTGTCAATGGTTGGACAATGAAATACAAAAATAGAATATTTAGAATGTTAGGTAATAAGGAATATTATTGATTGTTTCTTTTTTCTTTTTGTGCTACTTGACATTACATTTATAAAGTGTTTTTTTTTTTAGGATAGAACTGGTATGATTAAATGATTTGTTATAGAATAAATTACTTAAATTATAGTTATCTCATAAGGTATGAATGAATAAAAGTATAGTCAAATGATTTTCTTTTAATAATGATATGAAGATATATAAGTTTGGATTGATAATAAGAGTTATTATGTAACATAATTGTAATTGAGACTACGAAATTGAATGCACAAATCTGATGAACCAACTGACACACTGTTTGTATATAAGTATGGAAGAGAGCTGATGCTTTTATGTTTTGTCCGTTTTGTTTGTATGTTAAAAAACCAATAAAATTGTTTTCAAAAAAAAAAACATAATCACCTTGTTTCTCCTGCCCCATCATGCTGGCCACTCCATTGCATCCTACAGTGACAACCTCTATACAGGTTCTGCCATAAATCACTGACAAACACAATCAATGCTGCTCCCAAAATACATCCCCAAACGTAAATCCCAGAATCTTCTGCAGTTGCTGTGTATCACATAACCAGGCCTGAAGCCTCTCTGCCTTCAATAAAACATTCTTCCCATTCTGTGGTTGAGTACCTGGTTGACTATGGTTCCAACACATCCCTGAAGCACCATCTGCAGCATCTTGGCATCAGCTGGTTCCTGGTGGGTGGCAAAAGCCAATTCCTGAGTCTTCTTCTGCATGTCCTCTATGGCTACTTCAATAGGAATAAGAATGATCTGGAGACAAGGCAAGGCAAGCATATTACCTTCTTGTATCTAAAACAATGTGTATAAATGCATAAAACCCCCACCCTATATAAAATTAGTTCCAATTCAAGTCTTGCATCAGGAAAATATGGACTTGTGTGCTCTACATACAGTATGTTATATTAAAGGTTATAACTGTCTGACTTCTCTCACGTAATTTAATTTACAATGAGTGCTTGTTACATTTACTATTTTGCATAATTTATTCTCAACTGACCTATTATAAAGCGCAGCCTAGGAATGCTACAGTTTGCAGAATTCTGCATTGCATTCACAGTGCAATATTTTCTAGCCATTTCTCTGTCTTAATTTAATTTTTCTGAGATTTTAAAAATGTACTGCTGAAACATTGTCAAGCTTACTTCCATATGTCATAAATTACAGTAATCTGAATTTTGCATACAAATCATATTCTACAATTTTTTCACTCCCAGTAATTGTGATCCCTGAAACCTTCACGAGCTGATTCTCCCATTACCTCTTCCTTGTGGATGACATTAATGCGAGTTTTGATGTAAGGGAAAGCATGAGAAGTGGTGAGCAGAGTCTTGCGCTTGAACTGCTCATGCAGATCCCCATGGGCTCGTCCATCCAATGTGAAAGGGGTGCAAAACATGAAAGTGCGCAGATTGTAGTTCTTGTCAAAATATGTGACACGGTCCTTCAGTTCATATGTGTCAAAGAAAGGCTCCACATAAGTCAACTGGATGTATGCCTATGACAAGACAAGAAAGGATCAGCATCCTTTCAGCACTGTTGCATCAGGTGCTTGCTTGCTTGGAGTTCAGATTATAATTTGAACAAGGACAAGTGAGTAGAGAAGAGAGCAGCTCCCCCAAACCCAGCACTGGATTCTTGGAGGGAGGAAACAGAATTAGCTTTCTAATAACCTTGCCATTTCAATAGTCTATAAGACAAGATATGTAGCTTATGGAATGAGAGGAGAAATCTTAAAGGCATTTCTACTGGGGTATATGTAGGATATGGGACACAGTGGTTCAGTGGCTAAGATGCTGAGTTTGTCAATCAGAATGGTCGGCAATTCAGTGGTTCAAATCCCTAGCACCGCATAATGGAGTGAGCTCCTGTTACTTGTCCAAGCTTCTGCCAACCTAACAGTTTGAAAGCATGTAAAAATGCAAGTAGAATAATAGGGACCACTTTGGTGGGAAGGTAACAGCATTCCGTGCACCTTCGGCGTTTAGTCATGCTGGCCACATGACCACGGAGACGTCTTCGGACACTGCTGGCTCTTCGGCTTTGTAACAGAGATGAGCACAACCCCCTAGAGCCAGAAACGACTAGCACATATGTGTAAGGGGAATCTTTACCTTTACCTATATGTAGTATGGAAGAAGAAATGTGGCAAATCACTTCTTACCTAGGAATATTTAGGAATTGCTATGCCTATCCACAGCTTCTTTATGCTCGTGTCTTCTTGGTTTAAATATATAGTCTGCCTGTAAAACAGCAATGTCTAATACTATGTACAGTAGAATCTACCTTATTGGGATCCAGTTTGGTCTTATCTACAGGATTGGAACCTTTGATGATTTCCACCATTTCATGCCCAAAACGTTCAGCATAAAACTCCTAAATGGAAAACAAAACAGGACAATTTTGCCAAGGCAAAAAGGTCTGAGATCATTCTGAATACCTCAGTCCATCAAAATGCATATTAACCACATGTCTAAGGACAAAATAATTCAATACTTCCTGTGGGATCAGTTTTCTTATCCCTGGCTTTCCCAGATTTGCTGCTCCAATGTGGGGCACATCTGTATACGTGAAATAAGTTGATATCACCGTCAACGAAGCAGTATGCTTAGTGACAGGTTGTCTCAAACCTACACAATTAAGAAAATATATCCTCTCACTGGATTGCCCCACCTAAGATCAGGAGAGAAGTAGCAGCAGATATTAAGAGAACTAAGCAAGATAATGACTCTCTGAGCAGACATATGTCCCAGGTTCATTGACTCAGTTATAGGAACAGCTTTATGGCAAAAACAGACATTCTTGAGGGTACACAAGAATAAAATTGAATTAAAAGATGGAGGAAGAAGACTATTGAGCAAAGAATAATATTAAACGGGGACTTGCCTGAAGGATCTGACCACCCTTATACTATTTGGAGGACCCTGATTAGGCTGAGAGTTGGAGTGTCTACATGTAATACAAATATGTTCAAGTGGAGATTCTCAGCAGATAACAACACCCTATGTGAATATGGAAACACGCAGAGCCTGGCCCATCTGCTGGTATGTCAGCTACTACCAGAAACATGTACCGATCATGACTTTTTTTTCACCAATAACAAAGCCAAGAATGACTTCATTCTGGCAGTTTAATGTTTGATCTAGACATGGAACAAGTAGAACAGTCATTACAATTGCATTCCTTTTAGTTTTCAACTATATCCTATTGGTAAATACTTCAAAAGAACAATTCAACACTTCCAGAAGTTAAATGGAAAGTTGAACAAAATTAATATGAGATTTTGAGCATTTCCAATAACTACCTTTTCTTCTTAAAATTGTGTCCAACAGAAACAAAATATTTTTCTTCATTTAATTATGTTTTATATAATTATATCCAGTGGTGGAATTCACATTTTTTACTACCGATTCTGTGGATGTGGCTTATTTGGTGGGCGTGGCTTGTGATCATGTGACTGGATGGGCGTGGCTTAGTGGTCATGTGACTGGGTGGGCATGGCTTGGTGGTCATGTGACTGGGTGGGCATGGCCAACTCAACGTCACTCACATCAAGGGGTACCTCATCTGGCCCCTCCCCTCCCAGCCATTCCTTGTCACCCAGCCTCAACTTATCTATAGTTCTGTAAAAATATTGTTCCCCTTTTTTGACTTTATTATCTGCATACTATAGATGTACTTTCATGGACCACTTAAAGGAGGAAATGGCTCACATGCTTTACTCAAGAGTGTGATAGGCAACAGGCTTTTAAGGGGCTGCCAGAAAGAATGGGGGACAATGTATTTTCCAAGTAGCAGAATGCAAACAAGAAGCAATGGATGGAAACTGAACAGAGAGAAGCAACCTAAAACTAAGGAGAAACTTCCTGACAGTGAGAACAATTAACCAGTGGAACTGCCTGTCTCTAGAAGTTCTGGGTGCTCAATCACTGGAAGTTTTTAAGAAAAGACTGGACAGCCATTTTTCTGAAATGGTATAGGGTTCACCCCAAGGTCCCTTCTAAGCATTATTCTGACACCTTTCCCAGAAATTCTCCTCAGAGTTTGGCATCCTCAGTTTTCTTGCCTGAGCTGGGGGTTGGACTAAAAGACCTCTAAGGTCCCTTTCAGCTCTTGTTAAACACATGTGTATTTTATGCTCTGGACTATTGACATTGAATGCATGTAAACCCTGAAAAATATGTGGTAGCCCTGGGTAAAAGAAAGGCAGAAAAATCACTCGAGGTGTAGGGACAGTGTAAAATATTAACACATGATAAATAATGGAACGATTAAAAATAATAGTACAGAGTTTTATCTCTTTCTCTCTTCCTATTTTTTTCTTTCTTTCTCTACCTTCCTCTTTCTTTCTTTTTCTACCTTCCTCTTTCTTTCTTTCTTTCTTTCTTTCTTTCTTTCTTTCTTTCTTTCT